AAAAAAAAAAAAAAAAAAAAAAAAAAAAAAACAAATTGGTAAACTAAAGTTAAATTATAACTTTGATTCAATTGTCCATAGAAATCTGTTTGATGTAAAGAATTATAATTTTATAGTCGACTTTGTTATTGTAAAGAATTACAATAAAAATATTTTTGGGGCTTTGAGGCCTTTGAGGCTTTTTGAGGCTGTAGTTGTAGCCCAACAATGTTGAACTAGGTGCGGTACTGACCCAATGGCTACATTGAAGGTAGCTTCTTCAAAATAGCCTGCAAACATCACGGCATCGGATCTGGTTGTTTGGTTGGACTTGGACAATTAAAAAAAAAGATTCACAAAAATAAAAAAAATAAAAAAAATCTTTTTGGTCTCTGACTCTGAATTTCACCCTTTTAATTAAGCTCAACCACCGAATCGGTTGGAATTATAATTTTTGGTCATTCAAATTTTTAAATACGAAAAAAATTCCCGCGTCCCCTCCGTGTTAGGCTGGATTTAAGCTGGAAAATTATTCCTTAATCAGATATTAAAATATGGATCACAAAATAATATAAAACATTTATTAAATTCCTTATTCATATTTACTTTTTGCTTCAACTCGATGGTACATAAATAAGCTCTTTCGGTATTCATAAAAATATATAAAATAATAAACTTCTTGACCATATAATTCAAAGGGTAGTAAAATTAAATTATAGTTACATATTTAAAGTGTGTATGATACTTATATTTATATTTATAGCTGTGAAATTTTATGAAAAATGCCTAAAATTAATGGTTTATGAAACAAAAATTAAATTTATTATTCTAGAATTTTTAATTAAAATTTGTGATTCAACTTAATAAAAAATTGAAATTGAACCTTGCTGAGCAAGGAATTAGACGCCTTAACCCTACCCTACTCTCTTAGGATATTAATTAATGGATGAATTAATACTCTCTTAGGATATGAATTCATTCATTCATTAATATCCTAAGAGGGAAAGGTAGCGTTGGGTTCAAGCGTCTAATTCCTTGCTCGACAAGGTCCAATTCCAATTTTTTATTAAGTTGAATTACAATTTCTAATTAAAATTTATGGTTTATAATTAGTTAGATTAACATGAAAATACTTTGCCTTTTCAAATAGTTAACCGAATAAAAATATATTGAGCGATAAATATTGCAATCAATTAAAAAAAAAAAACGAGACATTTTATTAAAATTTTAAGATAAAAATTAATGAAGTTTGTCTTTTTTTTTCCCTTAAAACAATAAATTATGACATACTTGGGGGATAAGGTATGAGTTAGAAGGATTGGTGTGTTGAATAATACTTTAAAACCATTTTAAAATAAATAACATTTTTTTAAGTAAAGGCTAGAATCGTAATTTAACTACTTTCATATTATATAAATCAAACTTTGGGTTACAAACTTAACCTATCATTTCTAAGACAATCATATCTTCTTTCCATTTTCTTTTGAAATCAAACCAAAATGGTTTCCAGAAAGCATGAATTTAGTAGAAGTTATATGATACTAAAGCCCCATAAAGCCAAATTTCTCGATCTATTTTTGTTCTTGCTCCCTTTTGGTCTGAGAAAAACAAAGTTCATCGATTGTTCCGAAGACAATGAAAGAATATACAGAAATATCATAGATCGATGGTTCATCGTCCTATCCATTATGCTGCAGATTATCCTCGCCGCCGTCGCGACTCCTCTCGCCGAACTAGACTCCTTCCTCGTTAAGCTCCTAAACTTTATCTCCTTTAATGGCGGCATTATCGGAATCTTATGCAAAATTCTCAAAGGTATTTTTGCATGCATGACTAATCCCGATCTTTATTAATCTCTCACGACTCTCTACACTGGTATGATATTATATTGTTCATTTTAAGCAATAACTATCGTGGTTTTGATATGGGCTTTCCAAGAGGCCTCAAATCAATGGAGAGAATATTTCTTGATTATGAACAGGATCATTCTTTAAATTAGCCGGTGTGGGTCTTTCATCCAACACCTCCCCTCGAACAAAGTACACCTCCCCTTAACTGAGGCTCGACTCCTTTTTCTTTTAGAGTCCTTACATTTGAGGATTTTATTGATAAAACTAAGTTTAGGGCATGACTCTGGATAGTATATTATTGTCTGTCTTTGTGTAGGAAGGAAATTGGCGAAACCTAACGAACATTCACCAGAGTATAGATCTCTAGCGGGATTTTCTGATTGGAGAAGAGATTTGGACTCGTCCATACTACCAGCCAACCGGTTTAGATACTATGGCGACTTAACTATGATGGCTGCCAAGGTCGCCTATGAATCCGAACCCTTTATCCGATCTGTCGTAAATGATCGTTGGAAGGTAAATATTCGTTAACAAATAAAATATACATAAATTTTGAACTTTAATTAAAATAGAAAAAAAAATCTAAAATTTAATTACTTCTCTCCCTCTTGCAGATGACATTTCTCGATTTCTTTGATTTCTGGAATGGTGAGACTTTGAACTTATGATTAAGTGATCATAATTAGATTAGCATTGTTTTATAATTAATTGAATGGGTCTTAGTCTGGAGCAATATTAATTAACTACACGTGGAGGATTAATTATAATTTTAAGTGATTAAAAAATTTAAAACCACTATGGATTTATTATTATTGTCACTATAGTGGTGGAGTCGTGTGATTCGCATAAGATTTACCTTAAATTTTTCGACTTGTTTGGTTTTTTTCTTTAATTAATCTTAAATTCTTCAGACTTTCAAGGTAAAGCCACGACTCAAGCCTTCATGTTTCAGAACACAGCCACAGACAACTCAAACGTAGTAGTGGTAGCATTTAGGGGCACCTCCCCACTGGACTCATACGATTGGCAGGTCGACGCGGACTTCTCCTGGTACGACATCACGGGCGTAGGCCGCATCCATAGTGGCTTCATGAAAGCTCTCGGCCTTCAAAAGGTTAGCGGCTGGCCCAAAGAGCTCACTAGACCCCAACATGAGTACGCATATTACACCCTCCGCCAAAAACTTAGAGACATTGCCAAAGCCAACGACAAGGCAAGATTCATCATCACTGGCCATAGTTTGGGCGGCGCGTTGGCCACCTTATTTGTCACTTTGTTGAGCATGCATGATGAGACCACAGTTTTGGAGAAGTTGCAAGCCGTTTACACCTACGGCCAGCCTAGAGTTGGCGATCGACGATTTGCTAAGTTTATGGTAAACAGTGTCCAACGATATGGCTTCAAATATTATAGATATGTTTACTCGAGTGATTTGGTGCCCAGAGTTCCTTTTGATTGCATCATTTTCCGATACAAACACTTTGGTCGGTGTGTCTACTTCAATAGCTTCTACAGAGGGAGAGTAAGAACAAACCATCATTTAGCATTGATATTCATGTTTGGAATACCTTTTAAATATTTGATTTTTTTTGGGTGCAGATTGTGAGGGAGCAGCCAAACAAGAACTATTTCTCGGTGCTATGGGTGATACCCAAGTATTTTAGTGCATGGTGCGAGCTCATAATGAGTTTCATAATCCCATTAGTGAAGGGTTATGATTATTGGGAGAGTTTGTTAATGACAGCAGCAAGGGTGGTTGGACTATTTATTCCAGGATTCACAGCTCATTTTCCAGTGAATTATGTTAACTCCACCCGTTTGGGGAAATTAAATGTGCCTCGTAAGGTTGAGGACTTGAAT